TCATAACAGTTTTTCTTTTTTATTCTTCTAATACATCAGTTATTGTTGTTGTATTGCATCAGTTTATGTTGCTAATATCTGTTTAGTTTCTCTTTAATCCCTGTTTAAGATTTGTTATTGGGTCTGTAGGTAGCTGCCATGTCAAACCATCAAATGCCTATTTCCGAGAAAACTTTAGTATTAGAGATATCAACATTTTGTTGTTTCTAGTTTATTTTTTGTTTTCTTATCGACAAATAAACAATCTTATTGGGTGATCTTCTTTGTTTCATTTCATCATGCATACTTGGTGAAATGGTGAAGTTGTCTAGCCGCTGAATTATTGAAAAATTAATATCTTGCATGCTCGTCAATCTGGATCTTGCTTTTCTATGGGTAGAACCTAGCGAGGCAATTGGTTCTTATGTTTTATGTACTATTGAAGTAGGCCGTCATTATGCAATATTCGAAGTAAACAGTTCTTCATTTACTTTTTTTCTTCTCATTTTTTTGTCCATTATCTACTTGTTTGTATGCTTATAATATGGTTCTTCTGGTGCACGGTTAATATAATGCTCTTATATTTGTTTCTTTAATAGGAAAATACTGCTCTACCCGGGTATTCTGGTACGTGGCTAACTTAATGCCCTTATATTTGTATATATGCATAGGAAAATACTACTTTTTGAAGGGAGATGCTTAATGCAATGCACATTTCTGGACAGACTTGTTCGCATGCCATTCAATCTGATTCCATACCAATCATCATTCTGATTAGCGAACAGTATTTCTTTTATGTATCATTAGTATTGACATGCTAGTTTTGTTTTATTTTAGAGGTTGAATTTGAATGTCAGTTAGCTTTGCACGAGAAGCAAGAAAGAATTTTTAACATGTGATGGAAATCTCTTTTTTCCACTTTATGGAAGGGTACTTCATCCATGGAGGAATCATTGAAGCTTGAATTCAGAACTTGTTACATCAAGAGGATTCTTCCATTCTCCTCGTTTATTTTCAAATTAGCAAGTCATGGTTGATTTCTTATACAAATATTGTTCACTTAACCTAGTTTATGGATGAAACCTATACTTTATATGCTATATAGCCATCATTACATATTATATTATGATTATGTAAACAACTATGTTACATCTTGTCATCCATATGCCACTTATCTTAACCAAACTACTTTGAGCAATCTCCTCCTAAATTTTATTAAATCTCCTCTGATATATATGCCAACCATAATCAGTCAAGGACCCTTGGTGATAAATTCAACTCTTCTATTCTAAAGTGTGCTATGAAAATTTGCACCCCTGCCTTTCATGATGAGAAAGTTTTTGTCTCATGATCCTGGTCAAATTTTTTCTTAGAAGGTAGATCAAATTGTAGATAAGACGCTGTAAGAATTTTTTAATATGGGGTTTCCATTGGCGCAATCTCCTATTGGATTTAAGAATTTCCAGTTGACTTTGATCCAATGTTGAAGGAACCTGAAATTGAGTCATTAACAACATTAGAAGAACATATTATAGATATGATTGAAAGAATTAAAAATATTGTCTAAATTATTATATAAAATCTATTGTTTACTTCTTATTCTCTCTTACATTACATAGGGTCACCTTCTTAATTTCTCTTTTATGTGCGGCAGGAACTTTTGTGCTGGAGTGGCACAAGGTTTTGGATTATTTTACATCAAAAGTAATGATTATATGCAGTGATGGAATCAACCTCTTTTTTAAAGGGGGGCAAATTGTCGCCCTAGACCCAACGTGGGAGGAGCTAAGGCAACCAAGGGCAAAATAATATTTCAGGAGGGACAGAACTGATATTTCAGGAGGGGGAAAAGGACAAATTGCCCTTTCATACAAGTAAAAAATCTGAATTTGAAGCGAACAATTGCCCCCATAGACCCCACATGGGTCTACCTCTGATTATGTGTTAGATGGCAGAGATGCAAATGTTATTCTTATTCCATTGGTGATGGTTTTTCTTCCAATGCTACGCAGTGAAATTATATTTGATAGCAAACTCATTATTGTCTGTAATTGATTAAATTTCACTTAATGTACTGTTATCTGATATTGGCATTGTTTCTACATGGCATTTTTGGATTAAGTCCTGCATATTTAGTTATTTACTCGTGAGGATCTGAATACTACAAGCTTTTACGAATTGGTATTTTTTCCCCTTTCTGCTACGCTGTTATTGTAATATGGGGGAAGCCATTTCTGAACATTTTTAAAAACTCCTTTTGTAACGGCATAGCACGATTTATCTTTCACATTGCCTTAATTTGGCTTGATTGTATGCTTGTATTGTTGTTCTTTCTATAGTTATTCTCTGCAAATTGCCCATCTGATGAGCCAGTGGGCTGTTATCCAGGAGAAATTATTGCGTGTGGACACCGCATGCAGATCGTAGATCACGGTGATCTACGGTCAGGATTATTTCTGTGTTTTTTAAATTTAGGTGGGGCCCACCGAAATACGTCGGGACCGTAGATCATGTGATTTACGGTCCGGATCGGTTCTGATCCGTATGGAATAATTTTTCGTTACCCAGACACTTTAATGGTCGAATTGGTTGCAATTAAATTTTGAAGTCCAAAAAGACCGAAACGGTTCAGTTAGAAGTGTGGTTATGAATAAATATTAGGAATTACACACCTTACATGTACAATATCGGTTAAATTTCATAAACTCCACTTAATTTTGATGTTTTAGGTTTTTTTGGTTTGTTTTGCTAAATCAAAATTGAAATTGAAATAATTATTTCTTCAGATTTATCTCAGGTGAGCTTTCAAAATTTTCTTTTAGATCCTCTCCCCTGAACGAGAAAAATTTGCATATGTAAGATGTACGCAGAGCTGCATACTAAGAAGGTTATTCAGAGGGTATTGGAGGGTTATATCTATGTTATACCTCTTGTAACCTCCCTGTAACCTACGTGCAACTTACATGTATCTCTTAGTAAGTTTCACACTTCTATTTTCATATATTTGTAGGTTACAGGAAAGTTACAAGGAGGTTACAGGGGGTAAAACGCAGGTATAACCCCCAATACCCTCTGAATAACCTCATTGACGTACGCAACTCTACGTAGGTCTTACATACACAAATTTTTCTCCCCCTAAACGGTACGATACGACCATCTCATATGCCATTTATTTTTTTATTTTATATTTATTTTATTTTTAGCAATTAAAAATTTTAATTTCGTTCGAGTTTTCTATTTTATTAATACTAATATTTTTTTATTTTTTTAATTTAATTTAATTTATTTCAAGTTTTTGTTTCCATATTTCTTAACGTCTAGATAAGTATCATACGAATTTATAACTAATGCTTTTATTGAAAATCCTTTTTAATTTGAAGAAATATTTAGTGATATTCTTTTAATATCTATAATTTCATCTCATTAAGCTTTAGATACTTGATTAAAAATAATGACGATTGTCTAAATTAATCGTCTTAGATACCTAACATTTAAAAATTGCAAAAAAAAAAAATAATAAAGAGAAAAAACTCAAGGTAACTTACAACAAAATAAAATAATAATGAGGATAAAAATAAAAATGAAAATAATTATAATAATAATAATAATTATTATTATTACATTGCAAATTAATAAGTAGCTTGTAACGATATATTTCTTCTTATGGCGTAGCATTTAATTCTGAGTATAACAATTTAGGCCCCTTGCTATCTATTCTTGAAGCCCGTAATTATTGACATGTTATAAAGTCATGGGTAGCAGCATCACTTTTATCACATAAACTTTATTATTCTAATTCAAACCTATATATGTATGATACGCCACAAATAAATTTTTATCGGCTGACATGAATCTCACGGCATGTCACGAATCTCAATGTAACATTTTGAACAACAGATATTAGAACTAATTAAAAATAATCAAAAGCTCTAATTTTAACAAATTTATGGTCAAACTAATTGACTCGCGCGACGGACAAAATGATATCAAAGTTTGTTCAATCCGACTCAAATCAAGCCTAGATCAAACCGTTAAACCAATTTAGTAAGCTTTTAGCGCATGATTGGAAGGTAAAATGAATTTCAAGTTTGACAAACTTATAGTCAAATCGAGCCTCTTGACAAGACAAATCCAAATGCCAAATATCACTTAATTTTGATGTCATTAAAGACTCAAATGTCTTAGATTGTCGTCCAAACAAGGGATGCTCTTAGACAATGTGGTCTGAATTTCTTCTTTATTTGTAATCCAAACTCTATAAATAGAGTCCTACCCCAATCTTTAGAGAGAACCTAAATTTGGAGCTAGTAGAACACTGAAGCTTGAAGAATAAGGAGCCGAAGCTCATTATCATTACTTATTTACACCCTGCATGCAATACAACAATACACCCCAATAACAATGTAACAAAGTGGTGACTTTCTCTAAACTCCTAAAAGCAGTTCACGTAGCTCCAAACTCTAGATTATGCGGCCTACATATGTTATTATAGCTTCTCACTCTGACATCGGTAGCTAAACATGAACTGTTCGTGAAAAACAAGCTGTTTTGACAACCCTGCTTACGATGTTTGAATCTTGCTAAAATATTATTTGATTCATGTAAAAATCAAGTTCTAATCCTGCTTGAATATGATTCACACTATATTTGGAATATAATACACATAATATATGAATATGATCTAATAATAATGAAAATCTATTAGAACTTTATTCTCAAATTCATGTAATTCATGCAAACTTTAAATAGGTACTATGCAATCAAAAGTAACAGTTTTTCGTAGAAATAAAGTTTCCAATATATGTTCTTAGAAAAATAAACAGCTTGATATATTTATTGATATTTAAAATAAAAAATTTGAGGGGCAATATATTTTTGTGAGAAATGTTGGCGAAGAAAAAAACTCGTTTGACTTCTTAAGGTAGCGTTTGGCTTTATTTTCGATTTATGCTAAATATGATTTATGTAATCTGGTAGATCTGGATTAATCAAATGATCCGAGGAGCTAGATCAGACTTATTAAATTTAACGGGTGAGGAGAAAAAAGATGACGGAACACGATTAAATTTGATTTAATGGAAGGTTGAATTTACTTTTCAGATGTTTAGATGTTCATTGAATTTAAGTTAAATTCATGAACAGCTTGCGTATTGTTTCCCTAACCATATGGCTTCTTCATCTGTGCCGTGCCCTACGCTCGGGAGTTTCTCGGCCAAGTATTATTCGGCGGCGGCGGATGGGAGCTGCGTGCGGCAGAGCAGCTTCTTCGAGGGAAAACCCGTTCTCAACCAAGGCGTTGGCTATTCTGTCATCCTTGGCTTTGGAGCCTTCTTTGCCCTATTCACCTCTTTCCTGGTAACTCCTCTTTTAAGTTTTAGCACTTCTCCAGTCATTGGTGTTTTCTTCCTTTTTCGCATTTGCCATTTATTTTCGATTATTTCGTATTTTTAACATTTTTAAAAGAGAAGAACTTGTATCGTACGTGTGTGTGTCACTATGGGGTAGCACGCTTTAGCTATGGATTTAACCTAAATCCAGCCAAATACCTAAAAAGGGAAAACTAACCTTTAAAATCGAATTCTCTCATGTCCCGTCTCTTTCTTCCGTTCCGTCTTCAATGCAACGTAAATCCGGATTTATCAAATTCGACTGTAAACGGATTTACTTGGTCGTTGCTCGCGTGCTCCATCTCCGCCCCGAGCTCACAGGATTTCACAGATTCGATAAATCCTATTTAAAGTAAATCTACATGTACAACCAAACACCACCTATGTGTGTGTGTGTATTTTGAATTTGAATTTGTCCGTGAATCATACCCAAAGAATAAAGTATAAGATAGGAGAGATAAAGAGAGAGAAGTGCACAATAATGAACATTAATATGGGGTCTTCCGAGGTTTCTAAAACTTATTTTATTCATAAAATGATCCCTATTTATAGGAAATATGATACAATATCTGAAGTTGTGTTTGTCTCCGCTTTGATGGAGGCGTTACAGGGTTGTTTTTGATATTTTACATGTATGAGTTTGTCGTCCAAGCTACATATTGTCTAGGCCGTGGGTTGTCCAGACTGCGGTTTTCCAGTTTTTGGGTCCGGGCTGAGTCCAGGATGTTGGACGTTCAGGCAGTGGGTCTTCCAGGTTGTGGGTCGTCTATACTATTGGTCGTTCAGGCTGCGTGTCTTCCAGATTGCATGTCGTACATGTTGCGTGTTGACCAAGTTGTAGGTCATTCAGACTGTTTCGCTCAGGCTACTGGTCTTCCAGGTTGTTGGTCATCCCTTTGAGAGATTCTGTCTAACATATTTTGATTATACATATTTCTTTAATTCTTTTATCTATGTGAATGTGATATAATCCAAACCACAAAACACAAACAATAGTATTATGAATAAATCATATTACAACCAGGAATAAAAAGAAATTAGAAAAAAAAGACAATAATAACAATATCCAGCTAGGGTCGAGTAGGAAGATTCGGGGACGACGTGGTTAGGAGTTGAATTGGAAAGAGGTAAGGAATATGTTGCTGGAAGTAGGAGGTTGTAGGATGATCACTAGTTAAGAGCAGAGGGATGGGGAAGTTGGTGACTAGCGGCGGGATCTGGAGGGGTAGGTAAGGTTGGCCGGTGGCTAGGAGTAGGGAAGAGTTGGTGTGGATGCTGGTTGTTGAATCAGGAGGGTTAGGAGAGGGTGCTAGTCGACGACTAGGAGTAAGGAAGAGGGAAGCATGGATGGAATCAAAGGGATAATCATCACTTCGGAGCAGGATACAATCGGGGCACCGTCTATTCTCGGGTACATCCCTAGCAAGGGAATAAGCCTTCAAGTTAAAATTTGAAACAAATCAAGAATAACCCTAACTCAACAAACACAAAAATTTATAGTAGATAGATTGGAGGGAAAGGGGGCAGCAATTCCTTCCTAAGGTTGGTTGATTGATCTAGCCTCCTTTTTGGATTAACTCCTCCCTATGGCTTAGCGTCGTGGTTCAACCCATACCCACACCCCACAACAATCTCTATAGATTGGGGATGGTTTGACTGTATTGTTCGAAGCTTTCGGGTTTTCGTAGTATGATGTTAGGGCCGCGACATTGAACGTGGTGAAGACATTGTAGTTTCTTGGCAGGTCGATCTTATAAGTATTAACATGCAACTTTCTAAGTATTCTGAAAGGTCCATCAACTCAGAGCTAGAGTTTTTTGAATGCTCTCGCTTGGAATCTTTCTTTCTTCAACCGGATCCACACTAGGTTCTATTCTTGAAAAGTCACATTCTTTCTGAACTTGTTTGTCTATGCTTGGTACTTGCGGTTCTGCTTTGTGATTTTTCTCCCAGCATCCTTATGGAGTTTTTGAATTTGGTGCACTCGTTTTTTCATCATCCTCGCTAATCTATGATGTCAGCAGGAGGAGTACCACTTCAAGTGAGTGAGCGGGTTGCGATCATACACAATCTCAAATGGGGCGTGTTCTGTAGTCTGACTCATGGATCTGTTCTAAGCAAACTCGGCTTGCACTAGAATCAGATCTCACTGTTTAATATACTTTCCAACAAAGCATCCCAGCAGATTTCCAAGGCTCCTGTTCATGATCTCTGTCTGACTGTCCGTCTGAGGGTGAACTTAGAACTAAATTGAAGCTTAGTTCTTAGTTTCCCCCACAGAGTCCTATAGAAGTGACTCAGTGACTTGACATCGATGGTTCAGGGCATCCCGTGCAATATCACAATCTTCCTGATATACAAGTCCACGACATGCGATGCATCTAATGTCCGTTGGCACGACATGAAATGTGTCATCTTTGATAATCGATCCACCACGACCATGATTGAATCCTTTTTCTGTTGTGTCCTCAAAAGTTAGATCACAAAGTCCATGCTAATGTTTGCCCATGGTGCCACTGGCACTGGTATTGTGGTGTATAACTCAACATTCTGCCTTCTGGTCTTTGCCATATGATAAATCCTAAATTTCACGATGCCTCTCTTCACATCTATCGCTAGTCAGGGCCAAAAGAAATGTTCTCTCAGGAGTGCGTGAGTCTTGTCCCTACCAAAATTCCCGAAGAATCCTCTACCATGGCTTTCCTGAACGATGGACTCCCTTAGCAAACATCTAGGAATGCAAAACTTCCTCTGGTGGAACAAGTATCCAACAGCTCTTTAGTTCTGCCCGATAGGCTTCTCCTCAGCTCTTTAGTACTGTCCAATAGGCTTCTCCTGACATTGTTCTCAAATTTTCTCAGAATCCTCATTTGTCTCGTAAAACTTCTTTACTACCTTAAAGCCCACGATGCAAGCCTGCATTGTAGTGATCAACAAGTGACGGCGGCTCAGAACATATGCTACTCGGTTCTAACTCTGTGCCTTGTGCTTAAGCACGAACTAGAACAATGCTAAGAACTCCAACCAAGTGGTGTGCCTGCCCTTCAGTTTGCTCTGGTCGTTTAAGAATTTCAAGTATTTGTGGTTTGCAAACAACGTGAGCACGCTCGTCAGCAGGGAATGACTCCAGTATTTAAGAGCTCTTATAATAACATAAAATTTCTTGTCTTAAGTCTAGTATTTCCTTCTGGAATCATTCAATTTCTCACTTAAAAAGAAGATGGGGTGCTCTCTCTGGCTCAATATCACTTTTATCCCCACATCAGATGCATCACACGCTACCTCGAAGAGCTGGTTGAAACTTGATAATGCCAATACTGGTGCTCGGGTCACTTTCTCCTTGAGTGCATTGAAACTGTTATGAGCTGCTTTTGTCCACTGGATTTTCTTTCCCTTCAAATGATTTGTCAGAGGGGTGGTGATGGTACTAGAGTTTCTAATGAATTGCCTGTAAAGTGATGTGTCCCAAAAATGTTTCAGTTGGCGAACGACTGCGGTGCGGTCCAACTCACAATTATATCGATTATTGTAGGATTCATTTGAATGCCTGCCCTAGACATTTTATAACCCAAAAAATATAGCTGACTTGTCATAAAGTGAACACTTCTTGGGATGGGCATATAGCTTCTCTGCTCGCAATACCTCAAATATCGCCCTCAGGTGTTGTATGTGCTCCTCAGATTGACTACATGTCAGAATGTCGTCAAAGCAGACCATCACAAGTTTTCTAATGTGGGTCTGGAATATTTGATTCATCAACTTTATAAGTGTATTTGATTCATCAAACTTATAAGTGTTGGGCTCGTTTGATAGTCCAAATGACTTAACTGTCCACTCCTATAGTCAATCTCGTGTCTTAAAAGCGGTCTTTCACTAGTCTCCCGGTCTCATTTGGATCTGGAGATACCCTTCGTTTAAGTCAATCTTGAAAAAGATGGCTCTATGCAATTTATCCAAGGGGTCCTCTAGATGAGGTATGGGAAGCCAGTACTTGATGGTAATCTTGTTGATTGCCCTGCTGTCAATGTATATCAGCCACAAACCGCCCTTCTTAGGTACCATCAAAGTGGGGACAACAAACGGACAAGTACTCTCTTTAAACAACCCTCTCGCGACGAGATCCTGCACTTATTGCTGCAACTCCATGTTCTCCGATGGCCTCAATCTGTAAGCGGGCTGATTTGACAACACTGATTCTAGTATGAGATTTATGACATGCTTAATGTATTTTAGTAGCGGTAATCCCTCTGGAAAGTTGTCAGTCATAACATCTTGGAAGTCATGTAGTAGTGGTTGTAGTAATATTGATATTTCACTCTCCACCTCGGTTTCCTCTAATAGGAACGATGCTAGTGCTATCTAAGCATCCCAAACCGACTGCATGAAAGCGACTCTTGAGACTAACACCTCTGTGGTTCGCGTTTACCGCTCAGATTCTTAACAGATAAATGCATTTCCCATCCTTTTTAAAAGAGTAAGCATTCTTGAAGTAGTCGTGCCGAGCCTTGCGGTCGAATCACTAAGGCTTCTAACAAAATATGAAATGCTTCTATCGAAACCACATCACACCACACTTGCTTATGAAACTGACCCCCAGTTGAAAATTCGATCAAGCACTATTGATTCATGTGTATTGTGTTTCCCTTTTTCAACTAGGCAAGGAATAGGGCTGAGGATGTTTATGTGTGGCCAATCCCAATTTCTTCATTATTAGCGTGGACACCACATTTTCGCATCTCTCACTGTCAAAGTTCAAACTACAAATCTTGCCCTTTATCGTACCCTTGGTGTGAAAGATATCGTGCCTCAGCCATGACAGATCTCTTTTTGGCTCTGACTGTAAAACTCTCCGTATGACTAACATCTAACCCTGATCACCCTGGAACTGAAGTTCTTCATATGGACTATCTTCTGATTCCTTGATCACCAACTCCTCGACAACGCCCTGATCTGTGAATGAGACAACTGGAGGCTATGTTTCCGTAGCCGTGACATGTGAAACACCTCCTGAAAGACACTGTACTGGAAGCGTTACCCTTTTCCGACTTCTTTTCACTTGTATTTGGCTTGTCACTCACTGTTCTGTCTTACCAACTCCTCTCGAAGTACTCTTGTCGGTCGCGGTAACTGTAGGTAACTGCTTGACTGAAGGCTGCTAATTGAATGAAGATTTTCACCAGCTCTTTTTTTGTTGTCTTTCCACTTTCAAAACAAAAGTTTGAACATCCCCCAACGGTCAATATAGTTATAACTACACAACATTGCTAATAGCGGGCTTCCGACCTCCCAGATACCGAGCTATGGTGTGTTTCTTTGGCTCTACAAACTCACACTTCGTCTGCAACTGGTCAAACTGTGCTGTGAACTCATCCACTGAAAGCAATTAAGAGCAGGGAAGAGGTGGTGTGGATGGTTGGCAGTAGTATTAGGAGAGGTAGGATAGGGTGATGGCCGGCGGCTAGGAACAGGGAGTGGTACAAGAGGGTCTGGTCGGTGGCTAGGAATAGGGAAGAGGGAAGCGTGGAGGGAATTAAAGGGGTAATCACTGCCTTGGAGTGAGATACAACCGAAGTACCACCTGTACTCGGATACTACCCTAGTAAGAGAAGAAACTTGCAGACAGAAATTTGAAACAAACCAAGAATAACCATAGCTCAACAAATAAAAAAAAAATATTATAGAAAGGTAGGAGGGAACGGGTCTGTAATTCCCACTCAAGGCTGGCCGACTGTCAAGCCTTCTGTTGGACCAGCTCAACCCGCGAACCACACAGTTCAGGCAATACGTATGTTCCACATTAAAATGAAAACTGTAACAAGCATAAAAGAATTATAAAAATGAAACTAACATTGCTCGTCTCTGAAAATAGAAGTAAATAAATTGTTTAAATAAGAATAAGTGGTGATTTTGAAATATGTTCTAAAATTGAGTAACTAAATGGGCAAGAAAAGCTGATTGATTGAGTTTGAGATGCTATAACAACCCAAGTTTTATATCACGCATGTCTTGGTTGCTTGATTAAGTCCTTGCCTTGGATGGGTCACACCTTATGTCGTACGTATTAGTCAATATTTGTTGCAGTCTTTACGGAGGTAAATGTCCAGACTCGCTGCCAGGGTGATTTGCAAGCTACTCACCACAGATCTTGTCGCTAATGGGCAGAGAAGCACTTGTAGAGCCTTACCTGTGTCGAGTTGGGAGACATAGGTTTTTATCGATGTTGGGGCATTGTGGGTCTAACAGCCGAGCAGAGTCCAAAAAATGTTAACAACTTCCCCCTTACTTTTTGGAAACTTGCTTGTGAGGGGCAAGTTCCCCGACTGCTTGTGGCAAACTCTTTATATGCATATTAATGTAAAAAAATAATGAAAAATTAGCAGCGTTATGAGAAATTTTCCTTGAAATTTCATCGGTTTTTGTAGCTATTTTTCTAACCGATGCAGTCGGTTCAGTGGAGGTGGCCGAGCAGATGTAGTCCAGTGGATGTGCTGAATGTGGGAGGCTGAGTTTCGACAAGCCCAACTCGGTCGGTTATCCAGGTAGAGTTGGTTGTCCAAACTGCGCGCCATCCAAGTTGCGTGTCATCCAGGTCGTTGGTCCAAGCTGCTGGTCGTGAATGCTGCTGGTCATCCAGGTTGTGGGTTGTCCAGGCTTCCTGAAATCACACCCAAGGAATAGAGCATAAGACGAGTGAGAGAGAAACACACAATAATGAACAGTGATATAGGGTCTTCCCAGACCTCTTGGACATGTTTTATTCATAAAATTATCCCATATTTATAGGGTGAGGATACAATATCTGAAGTTACTTGTTTTCTCTAGCTTTGATGGGCACGCTATAAGGGTAATTCTGATATTTTACATGTATGAGCTTGTCTTCCAATCTGCGAGTTATCCATGCTGTTAGTCATCCAGGCTGCTGGTCATCCAAGCTGCGGGTCATCTATACTACAGGTATTCCAAGCTGCTCGTAGTTTGACTGCTGGTCATCTAGACTGTGGGTCTTCCAGGCTGTGGGTCGTTCAGTCTGCTGGTCATCCATGCCGCAGGTTGTTTAGGCTATCTGTTGTCCTGACTACCGTATTATGGGTTGTGGGTCATCCAGGCTGCACATCGTTCCGGCTGCGGGTCGTCTCTCAGAGAGATTCAGTCTAACATATTTTTTATTGTCTCTTTGAGAGATTCAATTTAACATATTTTTTTATACAATTTATATAGACATGAGTTCAGTTCGATGTGCGTCAAAAAAGTCAACTTTAAAGCTATTTTCAGCCAAATTTTCTAATTAAAAAATTATTTTACTAAATAGGTTTATATATTATATGCATTGGTATATAATTTTAGACATTCTTGAGTTAAAGGAAATCAAGATTAGATTTTGAGCTGCTATCGAGTGAGTATTGAGTTTTGAAGTGACACAACACAAATTCTTAATGTTTGAGATATTATTGTCCACTTTGGTCAAATAGGTCATACAATTTTATCTCTTTAATGCAATTTTCTAGAACTTGGACAATAAATGAAGATCGTAATAGGTCAATTATTTGAAAATTAAAATTTATTTTAATATGTTGCAAAATAGATGGGGATGCTCTTAGTAGAATTCAAGTGGGTTGTTTGAAGTGGAGGAATGCTTCGGGTCTATTGTGTGATAAAAAAATTACTGCTTAGACTGAAAGGAAAATTTTATAAGATGGTGTTGAGACCTTCAATGCTCTATGGTGCTGAATGTTGGCCTTTAAAAGAGAGGCATAAAACTAAGTTAAGTGTTCCCGATATGAGAATGATTAGGTGGATGAGTGGCTTTACACTTAGAGACAAAATGTGAAATGAATATATCTGTGGCAGGATTGGTGTAGCTCCAGTGACGGGCAAAATTACAGAGGGTCGTGTTAAATGGTTTGGTCACATTAAATGTTGATCATCTAATGATCCGATTAGGAGAGTAGCTGTTTTAGATTCGACTTATGTTAAGAAAGACAGAGGTAGACCTAGGAAAACTCGTATAAATAATGATTTTAATTTTTTAGAATTAAATGAAAATATGACACTAAATAGGACGCAATGGAGAAAAAGGATTCATGTAGCCAACCCCACTTTGTGGGATAAAGGTTTTGTTGTTGTAATATGTTGCAAAATAAATATGTGATTTTGCAGCACCTGTTTTAGTAAATCATTTTACCCGATACTAAAGTAGAAAATAAAAACATTGGAAAAGAAATATTTGACTTTATTCTCAGCGAATGATTTGTTTTATTTTATTTAAAACTAATTTTCTTACATTACTACCCTTAAGAAAGAGCTGATTCCATGTCTGTAATAAGCATCATACTTAATGCAGTTTATATTGAAACAAACCACTATATCGGAAGATTTCATTATTTAAGAGACTTATTTCACTGCGTTTAAGAGATGTTATATCCTTCACGTACGAAACTGTTGTCCACATCTGTGGCCTTACACATAGCAGATAATCATCCATTAGGCATTTAGTGGTAGCTTTCGCCTGAAGTATTTTGTCAGAAAATGATATAAAAAAATTATGAGATGGCTTCTATGACCCATAACTATGCTCTATAGGACACTTATTTTCTATCTTTTATCAGTGTATTTATTATTTGAAACAACCCAAATTTTGAACCATTGATTTGTATTCTGCTTTGGCTTAGCAGGCCTTATCATTTGTCTAGTAGGTATACGTTCTTATTATTTATAATAAGATTTTTTTAGTAAAAATATAAACTTAGCGGTTCGAAATTTGAAGTTAAGCATACTCACATTGCATGAATTCTAAGAGTGGCTAATCTTCTAATAAGTTTCACCAAAGGAAACTCAACTTTAATTTTGACATTTGATGCGAGATTATCTATCATTATCATGTAAATCTCAACAAAAATATGAATGAGTTTCTAGAAAATTTCTTATTAACATTATGAAATACTATTTGCGTGTGTTGTTTTTTTCTTAATTTTCCGCCTAAATAAGAAGGTCGCTTCTCAATTTTGTTTTAATCAAATAATTATTGAAGTTGAAAACTAATGGAACTTTCACCAACGAATGGATTCTTCAAATTATTATATTGATGATTCTTGACATATGTGATACTTGTGGAAACAAGGTCAGGTTTGGTTGGAGAAGAGATATATTGGGTCTCGCCACACATCTGAATGGTTTAATACGGCTGGAAGAAATGTCAAAACTGGGCTCATAGCAAGTGTGATTGTTTCTCAGGTAATAATTAGCTCTTAGGAGATGTTCTGCTGCTAACACTGCAATATTGGAAAAAGTTTTCACAAAAAATAAAATTTTTTTTTTCTTAAGTGGACTTGGGCTGCAACAATCTTGCAAAGCTCTAACGTTGCATGGGAATATGGAATCAGCGGCCCATTTTGGTATGCTAGTGGTGCTACCATTCAGGTCACTTATCTCATTTCTTCAAGAAAGTATATATAGAAAATTGAAGAAAATATGAGAAAGTTCTCATGTTCCTTGCATTCAGGTGATTCTGTTTGGTATCATGGCCATTGAGATCAAAAGAAAGGCTCCTAATGCACACACAGTTTGTGAAATTGTCAAAGCTCGGTAATCTTAAATCCCACACTAATTTTGTCATGATAGATTCATATTTATCTCTCTTCTCATAATGACACAATTTTTAATTTTTATTTTGTTTGCTTACATGTACAGGTGGGGAACTGCTGCACATATTGTGTTCCTTGTATTTTGTTTCATGACAAATATAATTGTGACCGCAATGCTGCTTCTGGGCGGTTCTGCAGTGGTTAATGCTCTTACCGGTGTAAACATATATGCTGCAAGCTTTTTGATTCCCCTTGGAGTTATAGTTTATACATTAGCAGGAGGATTAAAGGCCACCTTCTTGGCAAGCTACATTCATTCTGTTATAGGTACTTTATCCCATTATTGTATGCTTTATTACATGGATTGCGTTTTTGTTAAAAGAAGTAAATTTTGCTGGACTTTCTCAGTTCGTCTCAGTAGAATTTATGTTCTTCAATTGTTATTTGGCAATATTTTGACAAAAAAAGACTGAAACTATTTGCAATATTTGGCAATACTAGTTCCTTTACTGACTATGAAACTATTCTATAATGCATAAAGTCTCATTTCAAATTATCAGACTGAAAGGAGTGCTACTCTGTATTTTTTTTATTCTAACCAACCCAGTTGGTAAATAATGACCCATTTCTTATTTTTCTAGAATTTAGCTTTATGAAAAACTTTTTTTTTTTTTATTATTTTGCAGTGCACATTGTGTTGGTCATCTTTGTTTACTTGGTTTACGCTGCAAGCAGTGAGCTAGGAAGCCCGAAGGTTGTCTATCATCGCTTATTAGAGGTTGTTAGCAAATCTAGAATATGTCGAGAACCCATTTCTCATAGAGGTCAAGCTTGTGGGCCTGTAAGTGGGAACTATAAAGGATCCTACCTGACCATGTTAAGCTCAGGTGGCCTTATTTTTGGTATCATCAACATTGTTGGAAACTTCGGCACAGTCTTTGTGGACAATGTAATTAATTTTGGCTGCTTTTGAACCTAATATTTTTTTTTTAAAAAAAATTTAGCTTTTTTTTTTCCGAATTAAGCTAAATGATATGCAGGGCTATTGGGTTAGTGCCATAGCTGCTCGTCCATCCTCCACCCACAAAGGCTACTTATTGGGTGGACTAGTCTGGTTTGCAGTACCCTTTTCACTGGCAACCTCTTTGGGCCTCGGAGCGCTTGCTCTTGATCTTCCATTAACGGCAACTGAAGCTGGGCATGGCTTGGTTCCTCCTGCTACTGCAATTGCCCTGATGGGGAAAGGTGGATCTGTGCTTCTATTGACCATGCTATTTATGTGAGTTTTTTCTCATTTGGTTGCTTGAAATTAGATATCATGTTTTGAAAAACAATGAGTTCATTAGATTTCATTATTTGGTTGGATGTAGTTGAAATACTATTTTTAAAACTCAACAAACATGCTACTTTTGCATTTACATAGATTCTTTTTCTATTCCCTAACTGGGGACCTTCAGACACTAGAGTCAACTTTCGCTGAATGTATAGAATTGCTTAATTGATAAACCTGAAGTGGACCATAAATTATTTTTTTCAGGGCTGTCACTTCCGCTGGTTCCTCTGAACTGATAGCAGTCTCTTCATTGTGCACATATGATATCTATCGCACCTATATAAACCCCGAGGCTACAGGAAAGCAGATCCTCAAAGTATCCCGTGGAGTCGTTCTCGGTTTTGGATGTTTCATGGGATTTCTAGCTGTGATCCTGAACAAGGCTGGAGTCTCCCTTGGCTGGATGTACCTGGCCATGGGAATACTCGTTGGTTCTGCAGTCATCCCCATAGCTTTCATGCTTCTATGGAGGAAGGCCAATGCATTCGGTGCTGTTGCTGGAACGGTAAGTGGCTGTATCATTGGTGTAGTGACTTGGTTATCAGTAACAAAAATCAAATACGGCCGCATTGACCTTGATACCACTGGTCGGAATGCTCCCATGCTCGCTGGGAACCTAGTGTCTATCCTCATCGGCGGATCGATTCATGCAGCTTCAAGTCTTTTGTGGCCTCAGAAATATGACTGGGAAACGACCAGGCAGATAACTACAGTAGAGAAGATGAAGGGTGATTTACCTGATGAGGAGTTTGGGGAGGAGAAGCTGATGAGAGCCAAGGCTTGGATTATGAAATGGGGTATGACTTTTACTGCCATCATTGTTATCATCTGGCCTCTTCTTACTCTTCCTGCAGGTAATTTTTCCTTATTTTAAGACTAGTAAGTATAAAACTTGCCACCTTCATTAAAGATTGCTGAGTCAAATCATGCATGCGTTATTAATTTCTGAATATAGGGCAATTCAGTTTTGGTTATTTCACATTATGGGCAATTATAGCCATTGCTTGGGGAACAATTGGTTCAGTTGTGATCATTATCTTGCCTCTAAGTGAAAGCTGGCAGAGGATAAGCAGCGTGTGCGTCGGCATGTTCACGAATGACAAGCTGATGGAGAAGCTAGATGAAATGAACCTTAGACTGCATGCAATCATGACGGCCATGCCTGAGGCCCAACAAATTTATTTGCTGGAGAAAGAGAAGGCTAAGAGGCTTGAGGTTCTAGAAGGAAGAAGAACAAGCTCAAGTGTTCCAATTCCAACTGCGATGGACGAGCTTTAAGGTGCATATCAAACATTATGTTGATGTTGGCATTTGAAATTGTTGAAAAGATTTAATGTTAGCACTACTATAGTATGTGTCAATAGAAAAAGAAATTGTGGGTTGCATCAAATGTAATATAGCTTGTACTATTTATGACCTTCAGATTATTAGTAACATACATTGCATCTAATTATATTAAGGCGGTGTTTGGTAGCATCCTATTAATTGAATTAAGTCATCAATTTAACTTAAATTCAGCCAAACAACAAAAAGATAAAAATTAAATCCAATACTCTGTTTTATCATACTCCGTGTCTAAATCTTGCATTCCGTATGTTTTGAAACGTAAATCAAGATTTAATAAATTTGATTGAGAGGTGGATTACAAATTTTCTTTGTCGTAGCTAACGAGGTTCGTCTCCGTCAACACAACGATCATATTTACTGGATTTGTATGTCTAGATAATGCTCGAGCGGATCTTGACGAATCCAACAGTAGCAGCAGTTAATATCAGCGAAATTCATACACCTCAAGATCGAATGAATGTTTAAGTGAGGGCAAGCGAAGCTGCACTCATCACTCTCTTTAACTGGCCAGCCACCCTATTGGCCTCCCTAGTCAACTGGCCGGCCACCTTGGTTTACCATCTTTCCAAGCCAACCACCTTCCAACCGGTCATCTTAGCGGTTAAGACTTTGCCTGACAGGCAACATAATCTGATAAGTAAAATACCCAAAATAATATGTACTACTCCCTATTAGCAAGGGTAATTAATATCTTCAACTAATATTTGTTTTGTACATGCTGGTCGGTCCGTGGAGTAGCTGCAGGACGACCTCCACATTTTCTCTTCCATGTAGGGCTGTCAAAACGGCTCGTTGTTTGCGAACAGCTCGTGTTCGGCTCGTTAATTTCGTTTGATAAGTTAACGAGCC